GAGAGAGAGAGAGAGAGAGAGAGAGAGAGAGACTCTAGTTGAACAGCGAGTCAATTCGCAGTTATCGAGGTTGATGTCAAGTCGTGATCTGTTTGGTGACTGACCACCTTTAAGAAGTGGTAGACCACCTTCAAGAAGTGTCAACCTTCACGAAGTGCCAAATAGTCGGCGGTCAGAGGACTCTAGTGCCAAAAGCATTCTTAGGGGACCTTGCGTTCGTGTTCAAAACATATTGGCGTAGCACTAGATGCTCACCAAGCAGTTCTGGATGTCGGTTATATCGACACATCATAACATGCCTTACAAGCAAGCAGCGGCTGCTTGCAGGACCTTTTACCCGGTATGGATCTCTGAGAGCAGAGTTTCGCACTCCACCGTGAGATCCACGTCGGATAGGTGGACCTGCTATCCTACCGCTGTTAGCTGTAGTCATCTTGAGGGAGTCGATGAGGTGAGGACCCGGCAAAGAAAACTCTCAGTGGACTTTGCTGCTGTGTTTTTGGAACTTGTTGGCGTAGCATTAGATGCTCACCAAGGAGTTATGGATGTCGGTTATATCGACAAATCATAAGATGCCTAACAAGCAAGCAGCGGCTGCTTGCAGGACCTTCTACCCGGTGTTGATCTTTGAGAGCAGAGTTTCGCACTCCACCGTGAGATCCACATCGGATAGGTGGACTTGCCATCCTACCGCTGTCAGCTGTAGTCATCTTGAGGGAGTCGACGAGGTGAGGACCCGACAAAGAACACTGTCAGGGGACTTTGGTGTCGTGTTTGGAACGTATTGGTGTAGCACTAGATGCTCACTAAGCAGTTCTGGATGTCTGTCATATCGACACATCATAAGATGCCTTACAAGCAAGCACCGGCTGCTTGAAGGACCTTCTACCCGGTGTGGATCTTTGAGAGCAGAGTTTCGCACTCCACCGTGAGATCCACATCGGGTAGGCGGACCTGCCATCCTACCGCTGTTGGTTGTAGTCATCTTGAGAGTCGATGTGGTGAGGACCCGGCAAAGAACACTCTTAGGGGACTTTGCTGCCGTGTTTGAAACTGATTGGCGTAGCACTAGATGCTCACCAAGCAGTTCTGGATGTCGGTTATATCGACACATCATAAGATGCCTTACAAGCAAGCAACGGCTGCTTGCAGGACCTTCTACCCGGTGTGGATCGTTGAGAGCAGAGTTTCGTACTCCACCGTGAGATCCACATCGGATAGGCGGACCTGCCATCCTACCGCTGTTGGCTGTAGTCATCTTGAGAGTCGATGAGGTGAGGACCCGACAATGTTCCAATTGGGACGTGCTCTTGTTTCGTGATGTGCAGGTGCTTACAGGCGGTGCGTTCGATCCCCTCCTCGACGTGAAGCAAAGTGCGAGGGAATYRCTCAGGGCTCACACCAGAAGTGCGATTGAAMTCGCACTTTGATGGAGAAGCAGTTGCGCAGTCCATCAGCGCGACGATTTAATATGGACATTGGCTTGTCATTTCTATATCACAGGTTGAAAACGCCATCAAATCTTTTTGTGTAGAAGATTCATATCCATTCATACAAGTATCTCTTGTCATCGCAAACATCGAGATGAAAACATCTGAAGTCAAATTGCAAAGCACACAGAGACATCGCAAACATCGAGGTGAAAACATCTCAAGTTGCGCACTGTTTTTCCAAAGGTGAAGTCTCAGAGCAGACGATCAGTTTCCAGAAACCATTCTATGCAGAAAATTCATTTAAGGGCAAATTGCAAAGCACAGAGACTTTCCAAATTGAACGCAAAAAATCATACAATGCCACATTGCAAAGTGCACGCAGGATTTTCAAAAATCACAAAGTACATGGAGCCAAAGTGCGAATATGTTCTCATTTCCCATATGGAACCAACAGTTCAATCACAAATGCACGGCATCCAAAGTGCGAATATGTTCGCATTTCTCATATGGAAACAACAGCCAGCATCATGTGGAGAGCACGAGATGTATTCCGGGGATAACAAAATTGGCAATCATTTAGTGCACCACTGAATCCGTTAAACAACTTCAAGCACAAGTCAAATTGCAAAGCACACAGAGACATCGCAAACATCGAGGTGAAGACATCTCAAGTTGCGTAGTGTTTTTCCAAAGGTGAAGTGTCACAGCACACGAACAGGTACCAGAAACCATTCAATGCAGGAAATTCATTCAAGGGCAAACTGCAAAGCACACAGAGACGTTTCAAAAAGTCATTGAACGCGAAATATCATACAATCCCACATCGCAAAGTGCACGGAGGCTTTCCAAATATCACAAAGTAAATGGAGCCAAAGTGCAAATATGTTCTCATTTCTCACATGGAACCAACAGTTCAATCACAAATGTACGGCATCCGAAGTGCGAATATGTTCGCATTTCTCATACGGAAACAACAACCAGCATTCCGTGGAAAGCACGAGATGTATTCCGGGGATAACAAAATTGGTGATCACTCAGTGCACCGCTGAATCCGTAAAACAACTTCAAGCACACATACATTCTGGCGACAATTGGTTGCCGAATGAAGAACAAGTTCGCAACTGTCATAAGGAACCAACAGACAGCATTCAATCGAGGCAAGCAGAGGGGGTGAACCGTAAAACGGGGCGGCACACGCAGAACAAGGACGAGCCAAAACATATGAAAGCTGGGTGGCCGGGGTGGGGCGGGGGAGAGGGGCTTTCACACCACAAAGTCTCGCGAACGAAAGAGATAAGCACGAAACAATTTGGCGACCAAGAATACATCGTCGATATCTTTCACATGAGTAAAAGAGGAGCACAACCTCGAAACGAACAAACGCAGCACGGTGCTGCCGCGGTCTGAGAGGACATAAGGAGAACAACCCGAAAATAAACAAAAGGAGCACAAAGTTGGGATATTCACATCCGAT